ACATCAATATCAATATTTTAGATGGAATTTTAAATGATTTAACTAGGCTTCCCACTTGAGTCATCTACAAATTGACTGGCCGTTAAACTTTATCTTTTATGTAGTTCACTGCCAAATTATGAACTGCTTGATACTCTTTTTAATGGTAAAAGCTACAATATATCTTTAACAATAAAAATCGTAGTACTAGTAGCTTTATAAAATTCTTAGAAGTCAGTAATAACCATTAGTATTCTGTACACATGAATATTTAGTTAAGAAGGGCCAGTCTCTACATTTGACATATTTAATAGGACCAAGTTTAAAATAAGTATTTCTAGGTCTGCTTTCAGGAATGGGAACTTCCATTCTCTTTTCTATAGGAAATGAGGAGAAAAATTGGTACATAGCAAAGCAGTAAATAGTCTTAATTAAAAAAAAAAAAAGATTTGATTAAACAAAATAAAAATGAACATTTTTTTTGATGGTACTACAGTCTAATCTTTTACCATTTCAGTTATCATTTCAGTGTCACGATTAAGTTCCCTGTTCTAGGGAGAATAACAAATTCCTTATTTATGAATTTCCTTTATATATTTTTTCTCTGTGTCATGAAATTTCCTCATAACTCTTGGAACACTATGGACATTCAAGCACTTGAGATTCTCATTCTAGCCTTTAATAACTAACTGTCATGATACTTGGAAACCCTGGTGGCATAGTGGTTAAGTGCTATGGCTGCTAACCAAAAGGTCGGCATGTTTGAATCCACCAGCCGCTCTTTGGAAACTCTATGATGCAGTTCTGCTCTGTCTTCTGGGTTGCTGTGAGTTGGAATCGACTCGATGGCAGTGGGTTTGGTTTTGGTTTATCCTGATATTAAGATTAATGTACAAGGATTTTTTTTTAAGAGGATGGTATTTCCTTCTAATTGTTTTGTTTAAAAATCCTGTAATTATGTTCTGTCCAGCAAAATTAAATGAAATAAAAAAATGAAACATGACTATAAGATTATTGAGTAGCCTAGTTATATTTGGCCAGAACATTTTTTTAAGTGTATGCCTTTAGGTGGCAATACAGCTTCCTTTGAATTCCTACTTCCATAGCTGCTTCACACACCTACTTGTATGGCTTCCGAATACGTTTGAGTTAGTGACCTCTGCTGTAAAGGGTAAGATAGTGAATTATTTAGTTCCTTATATTGCTGTCTTGATCAGAAGAGTTCTAGTTTTGTAACATTAAAGGTAGAAATAATAAAGTTGTCATAATATTGTTGGTTATTGACTATTTAGTAATTCTTTTATATGAATGGCTGACATAATTTGAAAGTAATCCTCTTATGTGACTAGGATTTTAATTCATCAAAGCATTTTCTATTATAATGGAGTAACATATACAATAGAAGTTAAAGAAGTGAAAAAGCAGTGAAATTATCATTATTATTTGCAGATAAGATGATTACCTGGCAAACCTAAGAGTTAACTGAAAAACCAATTTTAAAATGCTAGAGTAATATTTGTGAGAACGCTTGTTGAGAATTTTGTTGCTCTTTTAAAGTTATAAATTATTGTTGTTGTTAGATGCCACTGAGTCGACTCATACCAGCCCCACGTGATGGAGTAGAACTGTCCTGTACGGTTTTCTAGGCTGTAATCTTTATGGGAGCAGATCTCCAGGTCTTTCACCCACAAAGCTGCTGGGTGGGTTTGAACTGCCAAACTCTCAGCAGCTGATCGTTTAACTGTTGTGCCACAAGGGCTACTTAAGTTATTAATTATGTTTGTCATAAGGTTGATTTTGCTTACTGATCTAATTATCATTAAACCAGCCAGTATAAAAATCATGCAGATTTTCTTGGACTTAGAAAAAGCATGTCTCCTTATATAAGTTATATAAAAATAAATGTTGTTTCTAGTGAAATTATAGTTTTTAATACCATTAAAGTGGCACAGGCTAACATAAATACACAAAAATCAATAGCCTAGAAATCAACAATCAGAAAATGTAGTGGAAGTGATTCCACTCATAAGAGCAAAAGAAACATAAGATGCCTAGAATAAAAGAAACTTATGAGGCTTTTATAAAGAAATACTATAAAACTCCACTGAAGGTTATGTAAAAGAAAACTTGAATAAATGGAAAGACGTGCCATACTTTCTAGGATAGGAAGGCACAGCATCGTACCCTGAGGGCGTTTATTATTAGTATAAAGGAAATGGTTTTAAATGCTGAACTCCATTTTTAGTGCCCTCAAGAGGAGCAAAAAATCAAAGCCTAGGGCCTCCAGAGGTGGGGGGTCTCTGATAAATTATCTCCCATTTTAAGCTAAGATACCAAAGGAGAAGGGTACAGCCCATATGTATTACAGTCCTCTCATGAACTTGCGTGCTGACCTGTGTCTTCTCAGTGGTCCAATCTGGATTAAGTGGTCGGACCTGCATTAAGATATGTGGACTGGTAATACCCCAGCTGCCTGTAAGAAACAAACAAAAATCCTCTCTTGGAGAAGATAATATCCTAGGCTTCATATTAGTCATATAATGATTTTCTTTTTTACATACAGTGCTCAGCTCATAAATATAACCATGAATACACACATACATTTACACACACAACACCAAGAGCAAGAAGCAGTAGAATCAACAGACGGCAAACATACCTAAAAGTCTTAACAATATTGGAAGTATCAAGCACAGAGAGAAGACCATCATGCTTACAAAGTTGAAAGAATAAAAGCAAAGATAGTAAATAATGGTGGGGAACTGCAAAGTATAAAAAATGATAAGGCAGATTTGAAAAGGAACCAAATAGAAATTTTAAAATCAAAAAATAAAATATCTGAAATTGACTCAGTGTGCAAGTTTAACAGGAGATTAGACAAAGCTGAAATGAATATTAGTGAACTGGAAGATAACAGTTCAGAAGAAGCTATGCACAAGGGAGCACAAAAAGGAAAAAATATGGAAATACTGTTCAGAAAAAAAGGTAGAACTCATAGAAGACACAGTGAAAAGATCTAATCTGTGTTTAATTGGTGTCCCAGAAAGGGGAGAATAAAGGCCAAAGAAAATATTTGTGTAGACAGATGAATGGAACACATTGAGAATCCAGAAACAGGTCCATAGATACTTGATTTATGACAGAGGTGGTACTGCAGAGTAATGTGGAATGGTTGATATTTTCAGTAATTGGTACTTGGACAGTTGGGTGTTCATATAGAAAAAAAAAATGATATTGGGTCCTTATAAACAAAAATCAGTTTCATTTATATTATGAACCTAAAAAGCAAGGGCAGAACAGTATAGCCGTTAGAGGATAACGTGAAATATCTTCTTGACCTTTGGGTAGGAAAGATTTAACTAACAAGACCCAAAATGAGTATAATACAATTAAGAATTTATGTTAAGCAAAAAAGAGCATTAAGGAAGCCACAGAGGGGAGAAGGTATTTGCATCACAACCAACAAAAGATTTTTATCTAAAATATGTTGAAAAAAAACAAAACTATAAATCAATAAGAAAAAGCAGCCCTTTGGAAAAGTGGGTAAAATATTTAAGACTTTACCAGAGATGAACTCCAAGTGGTCAGAGGTGTTTAGCCTCATCAGTAGTCAGAGAACTTGATATTTATTCTGGCTTTGTTTATAGTAATGGAAAATTACAAACAATCCAAATACCAAAATAGGTTATCAGCTAACTAAAATTTCATGCTTATGATAAGAATACAGTTTGGTCTGTAAATTATGTTAATAGGCTCACATGTATTAAAAAGTTTACACAAAATTATATTTCATCCCACTTTGGTTTAAAAAACTACATACATGTGTATATACCTACGTACATGTGTATATACACGTTGCATGAATAACATGGATGTATATATTGCATGAACATATGTATTTATAGCATAAAATCTGGAAGTATTTCAAAAAATGTTAATAGTAGCTGTGTCTGAATGGTAGTACTTGGAATGATTTTAGTCACATGTCTTTTTATTTGTATTTTCTGTTTCTAAATTCAGCATATATTGTATTATGTAATTGATAAAATAGAATGTACCAAAATAAGGCACTATATCAATTTTTCCAATATGGAAGTCAACTTTCTATTTTATTAAGGTTTCAGTCAGATGAAATCCCCCCTTTAGTGTTGAAAACATGTGTCCATGAACATAGGCACATGACTGCATAGTATATTTGTGCAGTAGCAACACAGAAAGAATGTGGAATAATACCAGTCTTCTAAAGATATACATCAGGACTGAGTGGTATCCTTTCATTTTCTTTTCATTTAAATAGATCTTTTAATTTTTTCTGCTTTTTTTATTGCAATTACTACCTCACCTGCCTCCTTTTAATATTTCCTCTGCCTCTCTACTTTCCATTCTGCTCTTAAGAGTGTTTAAATGTCCTTAATTTTTTTCTTTTTACAGTTTTGAATTTAGGCATATAGAGAAACTAGAAGTTTTTGAGGGAAAACTATATTATAAATTTAAATACAAGAATGGAATTGATTTTGATAGCTTTAGGATCTTAAATTTTTTTTTAAGATTTTATTCTCAATGTCTAGACTTCTCCTTTCACAGGGAAAGAAATGAGCCCTTTCTAAAAATAATCTTTCTGGTAAAATAAATAAAGATGATTTGATGTGAGGTTTATAAGGAGAGGGTTTGTTTTCTGGCTCTTTTTTCTATCATATGGAGAGAGGTGATTATTTTTGTTTTATTTTTTTAGTTGGGGTGGGATGTTACTTGACAAATGGAAAAAAATATGATGTGCTATATTTGTTTTGCCATGACTTCCAAGAAGCTTAGAGATAAATTTAGGGCTCATTACGTTAATTAGCTCATCCATGTATACTTAAGTGCTTCACCTTATAATTATTTTTAGATCATTAATTGCCCTTTTTCAAAATTTGGGTAAAAATTCTGAATAAATATACGTGTATGTAAATATATATTCACATGCACACACACACACACGGAAACATTTGTTTAAACGTGTCCTTTAAATTTTTTTTTAGCCAACAAATGGAATCTTCTTGAGCATGTTTCTCATTGTTTTGCCATTGGAATCCATGGCTCATGGGCTCTTCCATGAATTGGGTAACTGTTTAGGAGGAACATCTGTTGGATATGCAATTGTGATTCCCACCAACTTCTGCAGGTACAGTAATTTAGTCAAGTAACTACTTAACATTTTCTTAATATTTCCAAAAATATGACTATAAAATATAACTCATTTTTCAAAATTATATTTTCAAAATGTAATAGTGTCTTGCATTTCTTCATTTATTCCAGATTCTTAAAAACATTTATCTACTCTGAGTAGTATAATCTTTGGGAGTCAGTATTTAAATATCGTGTTTAAATATTTTAAAAATAAATGTTTAATTTCTGTTTTATCTAGAAATCAGAAAATATGAATGAATTTTCTAAGGTAAGGTCCTAACCTAAAAAGGATATTTTGCTCAAGAAAATGCCAAGTCAAAGTATGTGCACTGAACCATAGAGTCCTAAATTCTAGTTCTGTGTTACCTTGGGCAGATCATAGCTCCCTTAAACCTTGGTATCGTTATCCAAAATGCAAGTAATACATGTTCTGCCCATCTCAGAAGGATGCTATGAAGAACTAATGAGAATATGAATGTAAAAACATTCTGCACACATGAAAAATGCCATACAAATCCCAAGGATTCAAAAAATTGACAGTGAAGTTTAATAAATATTTACATTTTATTCCAAAATAATTTTTGCCCTCAAATATGTGAGAAATCTGTATGAATCTGTAAATATTGCCACATTTTAATTTTTATATTATAGATAAGTTCACTCTAAGATAGGTCCCTAGGTGGCACAAACACTCAGCTGCTAACCTAAAGGTTGAGGTTCGAACCCACATAGCAATACTACAGAAGAAAAGCCCTGGCGATCTGCTTCTGTTAAGATTGTTGTTGAGTGCCATCGAGTCGATTCCAACTCATAATGACCCAATGTGACAGAGTAGAACTGTCCCATAGGCTTTTCTAGGACTTGGTGGGCTTGAACTGCCAACCTTCCGCTTAGCAGTTGAGCACTTAACCATTGCACCACCAGGGCTTCATTGAAATTATAGCCAAAAAAAACCCTATGGAGCAGTTCTACTCTGTAACACATGAGGTTGCCATGAGTCAGAGTCTACTTGATGGGAACTAACACCAACAACCACCTCTGAAAAAAGAGTTTCTTTGCCATGAATAAGTCCTGATGACCAAGCTTTCAGGATACTTTTCTTGGGGTAAAAATTAAAAAGGTTTTATCTGAGTTGAAATATTTGGCAAGAAAACTGAAAAGAGACACTTTTACAGTAAGTATTTTCTTCCATGTTAAGGTTTGATGAAAAGTTAAAGGCTCTTAAGAGGGGTAAAATAAAGAGAAATGACAAATATGAAGAAAGAATGTGTGGGAATAGTAATTTACATAGATTTTTCTTCCATTGTAATTTTTATTATTTATTCTTTTACCCTTTTATGACTGTTAAATGTTACAAGTATGGAACAAAATCTTTTATTCTTTTAATGAAAACTAAAGTTTTATGAAAATAGTATTGTTAATACCTGAAGCAAAATGTAAAGTTTTTAAAACTCTGATAGAGATTCCTTTTCTGGAAAGGAGTGATGATTTTTCCCTCTCAAAATAGTATTTTGATTCTGTTAAGTTTTAAGACTTGTTTTATTGTCTTTACTATAGTACCATTTTATATTTGTTTAAGGATCAGGTCTAAATTTTGAATTTGTGTTTAGTAGCATAAGACAGTGACCTAAATTTTAATAATTGATTTAAAATGCCATTTATTAATAGATAATTTCTTCTAAAATTTATATACCCTAAGTTAGTAAAACTTGAGCACAACTTTACAAAGGCCCATGCTTTTCATTATAGAAATTAAATATATAATTTAAAATATTGCTTCCATATTTTACATTAAATTTTTTTTCTCAGCCAGAAAAAATAAAAATTATTTTTTTAATACCCATCTGGGTGTTCTTGAAACTTTTGGGGCAAAATTAATATAATAGCGTTGCTTTTTAAAAGTCTTGTCCAATAACTGTTATTTGGTAAGAAGATATTATTCTCCCAGCTTTTAGTTTAGTTATTATTTTATTGATAAGATATATAATTTTTAGAAACCAAGTGTTGATTTTCTAAGCTTAATTCTTAACACTGTAGGAATTTTAGAAATATGATTTAAAAACACCAAAAAATCTGCGAATTATTTAGTAGCAGACTCGATGGCAACAAGTGTGTTTTAATTATGATTCTTAAATAATGAATTATAAATGATGGATAAGAAGGTGACAGAGAATGAACACTTCCTCTTAAACACCAAAATAATCTTTTTTTTCTACTACTTCAGTCCTGATGGTCAACCAACACTTCTTCCACCAGAACATGTTCAAGAGTTAAATCTCAGGTCTACTGGCATGCTCAATGCTATCCAAAGATTTTTTGCATATCATATGATTGAGACCTATGGATGTGACTATTCCACAAGTGGACTGTCTTTTGATACTCTGCATTCCAAGCTGAAAGCTTTCCTTGAACTTCGGACTGTGGATGGACCTAGACACGATACGTATATTTTATATTACAGTGGGCACACCCATGGCACAGGAGAGTGGGCTCTAGCAGGTAAAGTCACCTTTAGCAGTTTCACTGTTGTGAAGATATACATGTTCATAGAAATCTATCCTTCACACAGAGATATTAAATTTCCAGAAATCTCAATTTTGTACTTAATAGTTTACAAAGTATACATATTATGGCTCCATTTTGTTTGTCTTTTCTCTAGCATAATTTTAATAATCTCTAAAGGTCAGGTTTTGATAATTATATCTTGTAGTGATTGGAAGAAAAGATAGTTTGATGAAAAGTTGATCAGTTTCTGCTTGATCTGAAACTTGATCAGTTTCCCTTTGAGGTATTGTCAGAATTATTAGTTATAATTTTCAGAAGCTGAAACTTCTCAAGCAACTAACAAGAACAATCCAAGTCTTTAAATATTGTGGATGTATATTTTCAATAGTTCTTCACATGTGAAGTTCTGTTTGTTTTAGACAGCTCACCAGATTTTTAAAGAGCAGCCTATGTTACATGGTGGGAGTATTGCTTAGGTCAGGAGACTTTGATTCTGGTACTGATTTGCCACAACAGTGTTATTATAGGCAAGTTACTTAATTTCTCTAGGCTTCAGTTTTCTCACCTGTAAAATGAGCAAGTTAGATCAAGTAAACTTTGAAATTCATTCTAAAATATAAAATTCTATAACTTTTTGATGCTTTTCAGTAGTTGAAAAAGCATAAATTAACTTGGGTTTACATAGATGATGGGAGCTAAGGAAACACTTTCTTCTTAAGAGTTACTGCCAAGGAAGAAAATGAGAAGACCTCTCTGTATTATATATAAATTTGTTTGGCAGTTTTCCCAACTAGAATGTTGGTGTTAGGTGCTGTCAAGTCAGTTCCGATTCATAGCAACCCTGTGTATAACAGAAAAAAACACTGCCTGATCTTGTGCCATGTTCTTCTTCACATAGTCTAGCTTCCCAGATTATTTGCTCGACATACAGATTGAATAGTTATGGTGAAAGGATACAACCCTGACGCACACCCGTCCTGATTTTAAACCCTGCAGTATCCCCTTGTTCTCTTCGAATGGCTGCCTTTTGGTCTATGGACAGGTTCTGCATAATTAAGTATTCTGGAATTCTCATTCCTCACAATGTTATTCATAATTTGTTATGATCCATACAGTCGAATATCTTTACACAGTCAGTATAACCAGGTAAACACCTTTCTGTTACTCTGTACTTTCAGCCAAGATGCATCTAACATCAGCATTAATATCCCTCGTTTCATGTCCTCTGTTGAATCCAGCTTGAATTTCTGGCAGTTCCTTGTCGATGTACTGCTGCAACCGTTTTTGAATGATCATCAGCAAAATTTTACTTGCATGTGATATTAATGATATTGTTTGAAAATTTCCACATTCTATTGGATCACCTTTCTTTGGAATGGGCACAAATATGGATCTCTTCCAGTTGGCTGGGCAGATAGCTGTCTTCCAAATTTCTTGGCATAGGCCAGTGAGCACTTCCAGTGCTGCATCCGTATGTTGAAACATCTCAGCTAGTATTCCGTCAATTCCTGGATACTAGTTTTTCGTGAGTGCCTTCAGTGCAGCTTGAACTTTTGCCTTCATTACCATCGGTTGTTGATCATTTGCTACCTCCTGAAATAGTTGAAGGTTGACCAATTCTTTTTGGTACGATGACTCTATATTCCTTCCATCTTCTTTTGATGATTCCTGTGTCATTCAGTATTTTTCCCATAGAATCCTTCAGTATTGCAACGCAAGCCTTGAATTTTTTCTTCAGTTCTTTCAGCTTGAGAAATGCCGAGTGTGTTCTTCCCTTTTGGTTTTCTAACTCCAGGTTGTTGCACATGTCCTTATAATACTTTACTTTGTCTTCTCGAGACTCCCTTTGAAATTTTCTGTTTAGCTCTTACTTTTTCATTTCTGCCTTTCACTTTAGCTACTCTACATTCGAAAGCAAATGTCAGAGTCTCTTCTGACATCTGTTTTGTTCTTTTCTTTCTTTCCTATCTTTCTGATGACCTTTTGCTTTCTTTGGGTATGATGTCCTTGTTATCATCCCACAACTCGCCTGGTCTTTGGTCATTAGTGTTCAGTGTATCAACTCTATAATTGAGATGGTCTTTACATTCAGGTGGGATATACTCATGGTCATACTTTGGCTCTCATGAACTTGTTTTAATTTTCTTCAGCTTCAGCTTGAACTTGCATACGAGCAATTGATGATCTGTTCAGCAGTCGGCCCCTGACCTTGTTCTGACTGATGATTTGAGCTTCTCCATCATCTCTTTCCACAGATGTAGTCAGTTTGATTCCCATGTATTTCATCCAGTGAGGTCCAAGTGTATAGTCACTGTTTATGTTGTTGAAAAAAGGTATTTGTGATGAATAAATCATTGGTCTTGCAAAATTCTATCATGTGATCTCTGGCATTGTTTCTATCACCAAGGCCATATTTTCCTACTACCAGTCCTTCTTCGTTTCCAACTTTCACATTCCAATCATCAGTAATTTTCAGTGCATCTTGATTGCATGTTTGATCAATTTCAGACTGCAGAAGTTGGTAAAAATCTTCAATTTCTTTGTCTTTGGCCTTAGTGATTGGCGTGTAAATTTGACTAACAGTCGTATTAACTGGTCTTCCTTGTAGACATATGGATATTATCCTATCACTGCACTGTGTACTTCAGGATAGATCTTGAAATATTCTTTTTTGATGATGATTGCAATGCCATTCATCTTCAGTTTGTCATTCCTAGCATAGTAGACGATATGATTGTCCAATTCAAAATGGCCAATACTAGTCCATTTCAGCTCACTAATGCCTAGGATATTGATCTTTATGCATTTCGTCTCATTTTTGATAACTTCCAATTTTCCTAGATTGATATTTCCGTACCGTCCGTGTTCCAATTATTAATGGATGTTTGTAGCTGTTCATTTTGATTCATTCCACATAAGCAAATGAAGGTCCCAAAAGCTTTACTCCATTCATGTCATTAAGGTCAACTCTACTTTGAGGAGGCAGCTCGTATTTTGAGTGCCTTCCAACCTGAGGGGCTCATCTTCCAGCACTATGCCAGACAATGTTCTGCAGCTATTCAAAGGTTTTCACTGGCCTATTTTTTTAGAAGTAGATTGCCAGGTCCTTCTTCCTAGTCTGTCTTAGTCTGGAAGCTCTGCTGAAACCTGTCCACCATGAGTGACCCTGCTGGTGTTTGAAATACCAGTGGCATAGCTTCCAGCATCACAGACAAGTCGTGGCCAACTAGAATAGAGGGTCCTTAAGTCAAGAAATTTTTTTGTGAATTGTTGTATGCTCAGCATCTAGAATATCACCTAGGAGATCAATAAATAATTGATAGATGGATAAAATCATTGAATGAATCGTAAAACAGGAAATACAACTTACTTTAGAAACAGTTCTTTTATATTTAATTATCTCCTGCTTTTTTTCCTATAAAAGATTGTAGATACTTTAAACCAAGAACATATACAACAATAAAAATATTAGTGGAAACAGACATTCAGGTCCAAATAAAATATAAACCGAAGTAGTATAGAAGGACAGAGACAGAGCTGCCAACTCAAGAACTTGGAAGGAAACATACTCATGGTTAACGTAGAAATGGTTTTGAACCAGCACACTGTCACTAACATCATGCAAGATTTGTAACTAGGGTTTTTATCTTAAAGAAAAAAATTATTCTTATTTTTCTTTGCTTTTTGCAAGTGTCTGTTGAATAATTCAGTAGTTGTCTAGAAGTGTTAAAGGCAAACTAACATTTGTTGGGCATATCTTAACTGTCAGCTACTGTGATAAGATGCGGTATTAGATTTAATTCTCATTTAATCCTCACGTGAAATCCTTTGGGGTAAATAGCATCACCCCTTCATCATTTTTCAAAGGATAATATGGAAGTAGAAAATGGTCACTTATCTATGGTCATACCAGTGGTAAGTGATGGACTCATGATTCAAGCTCAGGCCTTCCTGACTCCTAAATGTATTTTGTTTCCACTGACCATGCTGTTGTCAAGAGCGAAAGCCATGGTGGTACAAAAATGGCATTTTCTGGCCAACTAGATAGTTTCGCTAGCATGGCTCACTAATTTTTATAAAATTGGAATGTAGAGAAAGTCCTTAACACTAAAGCTACTTGAACATAGTTTATCAAATTACATACGTGACCTGTAACTCTTTTTAATACTCAATATAGAAAACAATACTTTAAACTTTATGACTACTTCAATTCTAGATAGATTGAAGTATTGTCAGTTCTATGTACTCCACAGCAGGAGAGAAAATAGTTCTATTCCAGTGAAAAATCTTTACAGAAATTAACAGTTTCAGACCTAAAGCAGGATTAATTATTGAAAATGTACTGCAGTGTTTATAATAATATAGCATCTCCAAATTAAACAAAATGTGGAAAAAATGGCATAATTCTAGTGGTCATCCATATTTTCCTAGTTGTTTTAAAGCATTGTAGGAAGATAATTTTAAAAGTAAGTTTTTTTGTTTGTTTACATGAAGGTTTTATTGGCTAATATAAAATTTTGTCTATTTGTGCTTTTTTGTTGTTATTGTTAAATCTTTTAAAATTTATTTCAAGTATTTCTTAAAAAGTGACTTTGGAAATAAATTCAAGAAGTTCAACTTACCAATATTTATATCAGCTTTTTCTTTTCCTAGGAAATGTAGTAGACACCAAGATAAATAGCATATAAATCAAAGTTCTTAAATTTTCATTTACCATGTGTTAGGAATAATTTATTAAGCCTTGAAACCTCTAAAGTAGGGTTATATTATTAGGCAAATGCCTAGCAGTTTCATTACAGAATGATATTTTTATAATTTTTTTTGAAATATGCCACCAGTAAAGTGATCGTTACAGAATTCCTCTATTAGCCAAGGTAATTTGTTCCTGTGTACATTTCTTTGTCAAAAACTTTATTATGAAAAGTAGAAGAAAGTAATGGAGAAAGCATTGCTTGACAGGTCACTTCCCTCACCCATAAGAGGTAGATATTGGCTCCATAATGAAGCAGCTGCATGTTATCATAGCCTGGGGTATGTAGTGAACTAGGCCAAGAGGCTGAGCCCCCTTTTCAGTCAGTTCATGCCCTGGCCTGCCCTAGACACAGGCCTGAAGACTAATTGTGCCTCAGAACTAGTATTGAATGTCTGTGCTCTCAGGAAAATACTTTAATCCATTTCGAACCAAGTTACAAAGAGCTTTAGGGAAACATACTGACTGGATTTTACCTGGATTGGCAAGTAAAAGCAGGTCCAGAACTAAATATTACAGTATGTTCCAGAGAATCTATATTCACCCTTTATCCCCATACCTGTATTCACAGTACTTCTTAGAATATGTAGTCTTTTTACATTTATGAGGCCTGAAATTTTTGCCTCTTTGCTTGAGGGTAAAAAACAATTATGGTAATAACAAGAGGGACATAAATTAATGACAAATGTAGATAGTCTATAAAGCAGTATATCACAGATACACAAAGCAGTTGAAAAGTAGTCTCAGTTACTTGAAATGCATCAGATGGCTGTTATCTGAGATAAATGTAAGTAGTTTGCATCTGGGCTAAAAGCCAAATGCAACGCAGAACTTACTCATACCGGAAAGCAGAGCAAAACAAGACAAGAGAAGAGAAATAGTCAGTTTAAAAGGTTTTAATGCTGCTTTAAGTCTCTTGTTGATGATATCTAAAGAGCATGTATATAACAGAATTAGGGTATCGTAAGTTGTTGTTGGGTGCCATCGAGTTGGTTCCAACTCATAGTGGCCCTATGTACAACAGAAGGAAACACTGTCCAATCCTGTGCCATCCTCACAATCATTGCTGTGTTTGAGCCTAATGTTGCAGCCACTGCGTCAGTCTATCTCGATGAAGGTCTTCCTCTTTTTTGCTGACCCTCTGCTTTACCAAGCATGATGTCCATTTCCAGGGGCTGGTCCCTCCTGATAACATACCCAAAGTATGTGAGGTGAAGTCTCAACCATCCTTGCATCCAAGGAGCATTCTGGCTTTACTTCTTCTAAGACAGATATGTTTAATCTTTTGGCAGTCAATAGTATATTCAATATTCTTTGCCAACATCGTATTCAAAGGCACTAATTCTTCTGTTTTCCTTATTCATTATCTAGCTTTTGCATGCATATGAGGCAGTTGAAAACACCATGGCTTAAGTCAGGCACACGTTAGTCCTTAAAGTGACATCTTTGCTTTTTAACACTTCAGAGAGGTCTTTTGCAGCAGATTTGCCCAATGCAATACATCATTTGATTTCTTCTACTTCTATGGATGTTTCTTGTGGATCCAAGTAAATTTAAATCTTTGCAACTTCAGTATTTTCTTCATTTATCATGATGTTGCGTATTGGCCCAGTTGTGAGGATTTTTGTTTTCTCTATTTGAGGTGTAATCCATTCTGAAGTCTGTACTCTTTGATCTTCAGTAAGTAGAATGTGCTAAAGAATATTTATTGAAATAGTTGTGGATAGCATGTTAGCCAGTGATTTTTGTGGCAGATGGAATTTGTGCATTAGCTGTTTTAATCTGTGTTGTCTTGATCTCTGGAGAAATTTAATAGAGCTGGCAATACTGAAAAGTTAACATTTGGCCATTTTTGAAAAAAGTGGTATCTCCTGGAGGTATCGGTGAAGCAACACATACAGTAATATGTGAAGACTGTATTGAAATAGTCCTCTGAGATTATATGCATGAGTGTTGGGGCACTTAATGAAACAGATTTTTCATTGTTAGAGTCTAATATAGAGCAGGCTGATGAATAAAAGAATATTGATTATACATAAAGAACATGATATTGCCTAACTTAAGAGTATTATTATATTACTAGTAGAATCCACACAGGATTCTCTATATTTCTGGTGTTGTCATTTTGATGGTTTAACAAGGAGGATGGTTGCTCTTGGTAGAAATATAGATTTCTAAGTTAGGTTGTTGGATCTTGTGCTAGTAAATTTTAACATATTAAGACTTGCTGATTATAAAAGTAACTTGCTTGTTATAACATGCTATATAAATATGCTATATTTTGGGAAATACAGAAAAGTATTAACAACAACAACAACAAAAAAAACTGAAATCCCAACACCAAGCTAGTATTTTTGTAGATGTACTTCTGTATCACTCTTTTTCTCTTAATATAGACATTTTCTCATGCCATTAAAAGTTCGTTATAAATATTATCTTATAAGATTCCCTCATTCCCCTTAATTATTTCTGATTTATGCTATGTTAGTTAGCAGTGGGAAGATCTTCATATGTAATTTTTTTGTCCCCATTTCTGATGTTTCCTTTGGATAGATTCCTAGAATTGGAATGATTGGGTCAGTGTATTGTTGAGACAGGACCAGCACTAGGGTGAGGTGAGGACAGCACTTGTTTCAGGCACAAAGTTTGAGGGAGGGCCAAAAAACTCATTAATGAAGACAAATAACATTTTAATGCAATATTTTAAAAAATCTACAGTGAACCAGGTGTATAACCCACTTACTGTAAGGCAGGTTTCTTGGTCAGAAATTAATTTACTTTAAACCTTTCTGAGTATATTTTTTTAATCCTTTGTTCTTCAGGTATAAACTGGTTTAAAGATAAATCTGTTTTTAAACTCATTCTTGATATAGGCAGGAAGAATGTTTCTTTTTCATTTAATAGGCACCTGTATATGAGAAAATGTAACATTGATTTATCAGTGGTGTATAACAGAGGGTCAGCGCACTTTTTCTGTTAATAGTCAGACATTTTTGGCTTTGTGAGCCATAAGGTTCCAGTTGCGCAAGCAGAGCTAGATAGTATGTAAATGAATGAGCATCGTTATGTTCCAATAAAATGTTATTTATGGAAATAAACATGAGAATTGAATTTCATAAATTTCAAATGTCTCAAAATATTCTTTTGGTTTTTTTAACTATGTAAAGTGTAAAAATCATTCTTAGCTTACAGGCCATACAAAAACAGGCAGCAAGCTAGATGTGGCCCATGGGCCATAGTTTGCTGACCCCTGGTGTGGAATATTAACTTACCTGTATAAATTTTTTTTTTCCACTAAATTTAACTTTATAAAAAACTGTCCTTAATTTATCATAGACTATTCCTTTTTTATGTGAGTAACAAGGCTGATTGGTATTTTTTTTCCCTGAAAGTTGGAAGTATGTTTTTAAAAAAGTCTTCTGGAAGGTACTTTAAAAGGAAAGCTCCATCAATTTTTTTTTTTTTGCTTACGTATTTAATTCTAAGGATTTAAAATAAGAGTATTCTTAATAAGATGCTTTTAATTAGTGCTCTGTTGAATTTTCTCCTGTTCACAGGTGGAGACATACTACGCCTTGACACACTTTTAGAATGGTGGAGAGAAAAGAATGGTTCCTTCTGCTCTCGGCTTATTATTGTATTAGATAGTGAGAATTCAACCCCGTGGGTCAAAGAAGTACGAAAAATTAATGACCAGTATATTGCAGTGCAAGGAGCAGAGATGACAAAGACAGTAGATATTGAAGAAGCTGACCCGCCACAGCTAGGTGACTTCACAAAAGATTGGGTAGAATATAACTGCAACTCTGGTAATAACATCTGTTGGACTGAAAAAGGACGCACAGTGAAAGCAGTGTATGGCGTATCAAAGCGGTGGAGTGACTACACTCTGCATTTGCCGACAGGAAGTGATGTGGCCAAGCACTGGATGTTACACTTTCCTCGTATTACGTATCCACTCGTGCATTTGGCAAATTGGTTGTGTGGCCTGAACCTTTTTTGGATTTGCAAAACTTGTTTTAGGTGCTTGAAAAGATTAAAAATGAGTTGGTTTCTTCCTACTGTGCTGGACACAGGACAAGGCTTTAAACTTGTCAAATCTTAATTTGGAGCCCAGAGTGGAATATTACTGAGAGTTCATACCATCACTTATCACTAACTTGCCATTTTTTGTATGCTGTATTTTTATTTGTGGAAAATATCTTGCTACTTCTGTAGCTCCTCTCACTTTGTCTTTTTTCAAGTAATTATGGTATATGAAAGGTGTTGGGAATAAGCATTATTTTATACTAAAAGTATGTATGGAGTTATAAATGCTGATTCTGTGTGAATGCATAAAAGATGTTAAAATAACAGTGCACTTTGACAGATGTTTGCATATGTCTCGGATTAGAAAAACAAACAAACAACAAAACCCAGTTGTTTCTGCACTGACTAATGAAGAATTACTAATGCCTTATTTTTTAGGCATAGACTAGAAAATGTAGACCAGACAATTTATTATTATGAGAAAACTACCAATTTGCTTACTGAAGATTCTTCTTTGTGAACAGCAGGTTTGAGTCCAGGACCATTTGAAGAACTACAAACTCTTTTTCTTAGAGAACGAAAAAGGAAGAAGCCATCTCAAAATGAATGTATAACTTGGTTGTAGTCAACCACACTCAGATGTCTTAGTTGTAACCCATTACCAGTATAGCAGAGAAACTCAAATTTCTTTTATAGATCAAATCATTTTTTATGTAGATAACTGCAAGAGGCTAGAGCCTACAAGTTGCTCTGTTCATTGTTGGGGACCTCGGAAAGCACTGGTAGTTTTAAGAGTCTTTCTCAGGGTAACTTAATGTTTCTTAATGAAAAATGTTTCCAGCTATAAATTCCTTCCAAATAAATTGTCTTCCTTTTCAAAAAGTACTCATAAAAGAAATTTAGCAAATTCTCATTGGCTGATTCAGGCAATTTTAAGCATTCAGAAAGGATTTTGATCTCTATAGAGTTCATGCTCTTCCATGAAAATTATTTTTCAGATTCCATTAGTGATAACATTTATTCTACTTAAGATCAAAGGATAGGAAACAGGTTATTTTTTTCCTTGTATACTTGTATTATGTAAAAGAAACTGTTCAGTATTAGCAATTTCAGTTAAGGATAATGGTGTGGTTATAATTTTTAAAAGTTAATTTAGTGTTTTCCCCTAAGAGGTAATTCACCTCCTGTTTCTTTCTAATAATCCTAACATTCTAGATTTTCATCTTTGAGAAGTAAAAGGAATGGAATTAAATTTGGGGATATTCTAGTCTTTGTTGTTGAAATGGTGTGACTTCTTACCATTGAAGCCATTTTTCCAGCCTTGGAGAGAGGAAATAATGCCTCTACCACTTTCTACCTGGTGACTTGAAAATTGAAGTATTAGTTAGGAAGAAGTCACTTAGCATCAGGGAACTTGTATACCACTATCTATGCACCATTGTTATAGTCTGATTGATCCCATGTTTTGAGTACGACTTTCCTAAATCTCTGAATAAAGTTTTGGTAAAAATTAGTTCTTCATTTAATGTGCAAATAACAGTTACTGAATATTTTAGTATATTAAAAATGGTAGTCATTAAAAAATGCCCTTGTTTCAGAAAAGTTCATGCTTGGTGGCAGGTTGGTTTGAAAAGTTCCAGTATATGGTTAAGTATTTATTTATATCAACATCAACCAAAGAAATGAAATAGTACAAAAGCTAAATGTTAAAATGATGAGCATATAGCTCCAAAAAGAGTTAAATTTCTACTGAGTAAGTTTCTCTCTGAGCCAATATTGAGCAAATTAGCTTTAACTAAAGCATATCCGTTTGCTCTGAGAAAGCTAAATATAAAAATAAATTCTGCATTCTTTATGAAGTAGTAGTATTAAGTTGGTACTAAAAATCAATTTCAAAAGATAGCATACAGTTTTAAAGCCACAAAGCTAACTTTTTGTTATATATTTTCTGTGAAAGTATAACCAAAAAGGATCTTTGGGCTAAAAATGTGACTTGAGTGAATTTATTAACCAAGAAGTTATAGAATATCCATTTTGCTGAATTCTACAAAAACAAATAAATAAAACTAGACTCTTGAGGATGGGAAGGCTCAGTGGAAGAAGGTATCCTATCTTAAAACGCCAGTTTAAAAACATTAAAGTAACTGATACTGTGGAGAAAATTACAAGAAGGATAAAATGATTGGTTACTTTCACCTAATGATTAAAAAAAATAGGCCTGACCGTTACTGAGACTAATATTCCCGTGGCTTTCATCTTACATGTCATATATTTGGGAAGGAGTTATTTGGAGTGAGAGGAATTATTTTAGGATAAAACTTTTATCATTCCACTAAGAAGAAATAGATAACATGGAGAAATTTTTCAACATAATCTTGGCTTAATTTGTTTCTTTATATGTTACCTTGCTCAAACCACAAAAGCACTAGCCTCTAAAAACGTCTTTTAAGAAAGTGTACCCTGTTAAGTGGTAAATTAAGGAGCCAAGTTCTTTTTCTTGCCATGACTTTTCAGTTATGCAATTATTTCATTCAAAATTTAGTTTTGCTCTGATTTAAACTCTTCCTCCCTGAGATTTTTCCATAGCTTTCTGTTTTGCTCTTAATAAATACAGAATTCTATGGAAAAGACCTTTTTCAGAAGATCACTTTTACGACCAGTGTTTTCATATATTGTCTGCTTTTAAAAATTAACATTGTTAATTAAAATGCATTTATATTTAATGCATTAGTGGATAGATTTTTGCTGTAAGTAAAATCTTCATTAGAATCTATTTGTAACTATGTATATTTTGTTTGTAATTTTTTTGCTTAAATATATTTGCTGTTTTGGATACTGCATTTTTATATCTGTTCTTTCACATTTAGAATTTGGTCTTTTTTTGAAGTAATGTTCTACATTACTTTTCCACAGGTGATGTGATAATTAATATATATAAGCCAGAAGGAAATAGTTTAATTTTAAGAATGTGATTAAGTATATTTGATACTAAATGCTCAAAGGAGTTAACATCTGTGAGTACTTTTGAATGCCTCCTTTATTGTAAGCTGCTAGGCTCTTTGGGCAGATGCTTACACATTTTTATATATCTGGTACACAGTTAACCCAGAAGAATGCCTTGCCCCTATAGGAGGCATTTAATAAGTATCTTTGACCAAGTGAATGAATTTAGAATCCTAAGGAGAAATGGGAATAACTTGATTGTAGATTATTCCATCTTCTTTACAATGTTACTTAAGTAGATACTATTTCAAGATCCTCGTTAAGCATGTAATTTAGTAAAGACTATTATAGAACCAAACCCGTTGCTGTCAAGTTGATTCTGACTCATAGCGACCATATAGGACAGAGTAGAACTGCCCCATTGGGTTTCCAAGGAGCAGCTGATAGATTCAAACTGCTGACCTTTTGGTTAGCAGCCGAGCTCTTAGCCACTTCACCACCAGGGTTCCATTACAGAGTCAGTGAAAGGAAAAACAACAAATTTTGTATTCGTAGTTAAGAGTTGTTAAATGTCAGGATTAAAAAACCAAACCAGTTGCCATCTAGTCAATTCTGACCCATAGCAACCCTACCTATAGGACAGAGTAGAACTGCTCCCTAGGATTTCCTAGGCAGTAATCTTTATGGGAGCAGATCACTAGGTCTTTTCTCCTGCAGAGCTGCTGATAGGTTTGAACCACCAACCTTTTGGTTAGCAGTCAAGCGTTTAGCCACCGCACCACCAGGGCTTCTCATGTTGGGATTAGGCGGGGAAAAGATTTCAAACCTGTTTGAATGCAAATACAGCTGATGTCACCAAAAAAAAATTTTTTTTTTGTGGTTGAGTCTGTAAACTCATTCTTGTGATTTTTATATGATTAAGATTGAATCTTTCATTTCCCCATTATTAGAAACATCTAGACAGATTGGAGATTTGTCACAAATGAAAATTATTTAAAAAAGAAAGTCTGACTCATAAACAAAGAAGGAATTTGGCTATGCATATCAGGACAACCAAATTGTCAGGTTGGAAAAATAGGCCCATAAACATAAGCATGTTAAGGACAAACTGGTAAGTATCTCATTTTTGGAGTATGTTCCCTATTCACTAGTTGCAATAGGTAGAGATAAAGAATGAATCTGAAATATAAGCAGTAGTATTGTTTTGGGCATCCATTTTATTGATTAAAGAAGTTGGTGTTTATTAGGAAATACTACTTAGACCAAAGCTGATTAGAAATGGAAAACTTTTAGGACACTACTAAGTTTTCTTTTCTTATATCTAATATGTGAAAGCCATTTTGCTTGATTAAAAAAAAAAAAAAGAAATTCATCAAATTGACCGGTCATCTTGTGTGATGCCTTTACAATATTTAGATACTTTTTTAAAATTATGAACCTAAAGTAGTTGGACGAAGTGGATAGTTTTGGCAAGCATTTTAATTTGTTTTTTAGTTTGGACCTGTTTATCCCAAATCAAAGATTTTTAGCAGTGTGCCAGGGATAAGTGAGGAACGTGGCATATCTTCCTAGACCAGCCATGTTTACTCCATCTTAAGTAAAAATATTTGTATATTAAAACATATACCAGTGTATTGATGAGTACTATGCAAAATTTGCATTGATTTTTAATATAAACCACAAAAATTCACAGCAGTTTTAATCTTGCAGTGAGTTATTTCTATTTTAGTCTCCTCACCCCAGAACACTGCAGATTCTTTAGACACAATTTGATTATTAACAACACTTCCTGCAGGATGTTTTTAAAAAAGAAATCCTTTGTTTTATGGCTTGGAATTCGGATAGAACAATAAATTTTCTCTAAACAAATCACTTTGTACATATATATATATATGTATATGGAAATTTAGAATGGTGCCGTTTTAATGCAGTTTTATAATAGATGTTTGTAGGTTCTTTGGAGTCCTTATACATACTGATTTCTTGTTTTAAACAACCGGCATTTGTGAGGGCAATGGGATGTGGATTTTAATTTGTAATCCCACATCCACATGCTCTCCTGTTTCTTTCCTACCTAACAAGAGATATTCCTCTTTTTGTCCAACCTTTAGATCCCTTTCATCCTTTCCACATAAAACAAAATTCATCAATAAGAATAGAAATGACAATGACTGTCATCTACTGAGTATTTACTGTCTTCTAGGCACTGTGCTAAACACTTCTATATGCATGATTTTATTAAATCCTCACAACCACCTTTTAAAGTAGATACACCAATATTTTATGAATAAGGGAGCAGAGGCAATAAACTTAAGTAACTTTCCCAAAATTACACAGCAATGTCTAAGGAATTGGGTCTCTAATTCAGCTCTGACTCCAAACTTAACCATTACCTTCTATCAATTTTGTATCTTCAGCACCTCTACTGGCACTTTCCCTTGGAATATAGTATGAACATTCTCAAGCCTTTTCGGTAGTAAAGCAATTCTCCCTCGATCCTACATCACATCTTTACTATTTGTTCATAGCAAGTTACATTGAAGAGTGAATATTCTACACCTAGTCTACAGTTTCTCAGCTTCCATTTTATATCTTGTATCCATGGCAATCTGGGTTCCACCCATGGTGCTCCACTGACAACATTATGACCAAATCACCAATGACCTCCATATTATCAAATAGATATCTTACTTGATCTCCAGGGTATTTATTAACCACTTCCTTTCTCCAGTTTCTCTATTTTTGACTTCTGTAATGCTACTCTTGGTTTTCCTGCTACTTCTCTGGACACCCCTTAGTTTGCCACACCTTTCTCTACTTAATAAATTTTGATTTTTCCATACCACATAATCCCCAGATTCGACTCATTCCATTACCTGCTTTCAGTTATCTCCTCCACACCTGGGATTTCAACTGTATTTACTGATTACTCCCAAATCTCTGTTTCCAGCCCACACATCTCTGGCACTCTAGGTACATGTACTCAGTTACATACTGAACGTCTCCAAATCAGAGACCCAGCATCTTACTCCAAATTGCTTCATTTCTTCTATTCATATACACGTAAATGGTACTGCCCTGACTTTATTACCCAAAGCAAAAGTGTGCTTCATCCTTGACCCTCCCTCTTTCTCATTATGCATACATATCCTATTAGTCTCTAAGTCCTACCAACTCTATTTTCTAATATTTCATATAGCCATCCCCTTGACTCCATTCTCACTGCCTCTGTCTTATAAAGGCTTTCACCATTTCTCCCACTAGTTGTTATAGCCTCTTAAATGGTCTCCATCTCCTGTCTCAGGTCTGCTTCAAAATAACCTCCATGTTTTTGCCAGAACAATCCCTTTATACTCCCTATGGCTTTCATCATAAAAGAAAGATTTCTTACTTTAGCACATTAGACCTCCCTTTATGATCTGGCAGTTTTCAACATCTCTAGCCTCATTTCTTGCCATTCCTCATCCCAGTCATCCTCCTGATATTTAAAATAATTTCCAAATCTCTGAAAATGTCATGATTTTTGTTTTTTTATTTTGGTCATATTGTTTTTAAAAACAGTTCCACATAGGTTGGGAACATATACTGTTCGTTAAGCATATCAGTGACATGTTGAAACAGCTTTGCAGGGTGAATAGACAGTGCTGATGGCATGAATCTGGCATGAAGAAGGGAACGTATTACATATGGGTCATAGGCTTGCATTCACATGAGGTGCCCAGAGAAGAGGGGAAGCATGGACAGTGATTAACAGATACAACAGCTTGACTGAGTTGATGTTTTGTGTCATTGGTCCCCACAACAGCATATTGGGAATGGGAGGGTCATGAAGGTAGAGGGGACAGCATTAGATCTTGTGGAGAGCTAGGTCTTGAGGACTAGGACTTGGTCCACAAGGCCATGCAGCATTGCCAAGTCTCCCTTTAATTCAGAGGCAGGAATTTGCCAATCTGAGCCTTAACAGTAAATAGACAGTGCTGCTTGGACATCATATATGAAGAAAGAAAGAGGTCATTAAAAAGACAAGAAAGAAGAAAAGACCAAAATGGCTGTCAGAAGAGACTCTGAAACTTGCTCTTGAATGTCAAGCTAAAGCGAAAGGAAGAGATGATGAAGTAAAAAAGCTGAACAGGAGATTTCAAAGGGAGGCTGGAGAAGACAAAGTAAAGTATTATAATGAAATGTGCAAAGACCTAGAGTTAGAAAACCAAAAAGGAAGAATACGTTCGGGATTCCTCAAGCTGAAAGAACTGAAGAGAAAATTCAAGCCTCGAGTTGCAATATTGAATTCTACAGGGAAAATATTAAATGACGCAGGAAGCATCAAAAGAAGATGGAAGGAATACACAGAATCACTGTACCAAAAAGAATTGGTTGACATTCAACCATTTCAGGAGGTAGCATATGACCAAGAACTGATGATACTGAAGGGAGAGGTCCAAGCTGCTCTGAAGACATTGGTGAAAAACATGGCTCCAGGAATTGACGGAATACCAATTAAGATGTTTAACAAACAGATGCAGTGCTGGAAGCTGTCACTCATCTATGCCATGAAATTTGGAAGACAGCTACTGGAAGAGATCCATGTTTGTGCCCATTCCAAAGAAAGGTGATCCAACAGAATGTGGAAATTATTGAGCAATGTCATTAATATTACACGCAAGTAAAATGTTGCTGAAGATAATTGAAAAACAGCTGCAACAGTACATCAACAGGGAACTGCTAGAAATTCAAGCCAGTTTCAGAAGAGGACGTCGAACGAGGGATATCATTGCCAATGTCAGATGGATCTTGGCTGAAAGCAGAGAATACCAGAAAGATGCTTACCTGTGTTTTATTAACTATGCAAAGGCATTCGACTGTGTGGATCATAACAAATTATGGATAACATTTCAAAGCCTGAGAATTCCAGGACACTTAATTGTGCTCATGAGGAATCTGTACATAGACCAAGAGGCAGTTGTTAGAACAGAACAAGGGGATACTCTGTGGTTTAAAATCAGAAAGGGTGTTTGTCAGGCTTGTATGCTTTCACCATACTTATTCAATCTTTATGCTAAGCAAATAATCAGAGAAGCTGGACTATATGAAAAATGGGACATCAGGATTGGAGGAAGATTCATTAACAACCTGCGATATGCAGATGACACAACTTTGCTGAAAGTGAATAGGTCTTGAAGCACTTATTGATGAAGATCAAAGACTACAGCCATGAGTATGGATTACACCTTAACATAAAACAAAAATTCTCCCAACTGGACCAATAAGCAACATCATGATAAACAGAGAAAAGATTAAGTTGTCAAGGATTTCATTTTACTTGGATCCATAATCAATGCCTTTGGAAGCAGCAGTCAGGAAATCAAATGACTTATTACATTGGGCAAATCTGCTGTGA